GGGCGTCTCTCACGCAAGACGCCACAGCCCTTCCCCTCGCCCCAGCGTTGCGTCCAGGCAGCTCTTCCTCTTTATGTAAAAAGGGATCGTCCCTGTCTTTAGGTCCCTCTGAAAATATAGCTCCCTGGGTCCGCGCTAATAAAACGAAACAAAAAAACCCTAAAACTTACTTCTGTCTCCCGAGACAGGTGCCCTGTGCACGATGCCGCAGGCAAATCATTGCAATGTCCTGTCTCCCTTCTCAGCTCTGTGGTGAAGCCTTCTTCCATTTCTCTCATCTAGATTTTGGCCCAGGACCTGTGGATGTTGGTCCTACCGGCATCAGATCACAAGCTTTTTTTAAGAAGCATTTTGGCAATTTGAAGTTTTTTTCCCAGGGTGTCTTAGACGTTAACTTACATGACTGACAAACCATCTGTGGCTTCCTTGTCTTTATTTGCACGCAGCAAGGAACTTGGGAACTCACCAGCAGTTAGCCTGGCAGGGAATTCGGGTCATTGACGTTATCTGATAATCCACAATGCATTTGATCACTTACGGGAATTATAACAGTGCCTGTCCTTAACATAGCCAATTAGATTTTGAACAAGGTTTACTGGCACATAACTTCTTTAACAGTCAGCTAGCGATCAGTTTTGCCAGTGTAAGTTATCTGTAAGCCTGATGAAGGCAGGTTGAAGTTAAATACTTGCACAGAAGGATTAACACCTATCTTCCCAATAGTCCAATGGCAGCTATGCGCAGGTGAATGGCTAGTATTGCAACAGATGCTGTAGCATGAAGTACCAGATGTACAGCCATGGAGTTAAATACTAAACTCACTGCAAGTTGTAAAATAGCAAAGGTGGAGTCAACTCACCCATTACCAGTTGGAGTGTAACATGCAACCAATATACGCTTTGCCGACTGTTTGTTATTTTGGCAAGAGCCTAGCAATAAAGGTGTGAGGTTAACAAAGTTCCTTAAGTTTCTTTTCTGTATGTAAAGATATCAGAAAGAATACTAATGGATAGAAAAACTTGAAACATCTGTACTTCATGAAGAGTCCCTGCTATACTCTAGGAGAGATGCAAACTGTTGCATTATTTCTAAAAATATTTTTCTTTGGGTCTATCATTTCCCACCCAAAACCAGATGGAATCACTACATTATTTCATATTCTTATATACAAGTGAATTCCAATAAATATGGATAAGGAAGAAAATCAGTTAAGCTGAAATAACACAAACAAATTAACAGATATTACCAGTATGGAGGTCAACCAGGATTTATGTCAAGGGCTCTGCATGAACCTTTCAGTTGATGAACCTGAAACCTGTGGAAGGAGACAAAAGAACAAGCAATAGGATCTCAGAAGGCCTCTATTCAGCATAGGAAAGGCAAGTACAGGAAGCAATCAGTAATGAATTGCCATGTCTCTTGGTGTGCATCTGCAGTGTCCTTTAAGACTGAAATCCCAAATCTTTATTTATCAGCGTCACAATCATCAATTTAATCGATCACTAGCAGTGAGTGGAGCAACCTTGCAAATGGTAGGGAACTTTATATCCAACACATACAAACTATACTACATTTTTCTGCTTACAACAGAGGAAACTATATAGCCATAGTGAATGGGTGAACTCTTTCTCATTGTTAATAATAAAGCAATATTAAAAATAAAGCAACATTATAATTCAGTATATTCAGAATTGCATCCTAACATTTTATTGTTAATAAAACCATGGAGCCATTTTAAGCCCATATCTCATGAAATGTCTTAAAACAAACACTCATTCACATTCAAGTTGTATGCCCTCAATGATACAAGTTATTAAAAATCTTCTCTGTTACAAGAAGGGAAAGCAGACGGAAGATGGTTTCCTCTAACATACAGGATTTGCCGTTCTTTGACTGGTACTACAGAAGAATTGCAAAACTTTGTATTGGTAAAATCTGACCGAGGCTCCTGAGCAGTTTGAGCACAACTCCCATGCCACAGTTATGGGCTACCTGAAGAGCCCCAGTGCTATGCTTGTGCAAGGCTCCTGCACAGCCTGACCCTGGGGCACAGGCTGCGCTGCAGGACTGCCTGGAGCTACCTGCATAGCTAAGCCATGCCAATCCCACCTAGCAGTGCCATCAGCGAGGACGCTTACCCTCCCCTTCGCTGGCATATCTATCACAGTTCTGTCACAGGAAGATCTTAGTGTACTGCTCATAAGATGTGGGATGTCCACCTTATCAGGCAGGAGTCATTGCCTCAAGCTTCCTTTTGCAAGAAACACTTTAAAATCTTGCTGCTGTATGAAGCATATTACCTTGTCAGTAAAAACTTAAAAGGTTATCAAATTGCTTTACCTCTTTTGCAAAAGTCTGCAGGAAGTACAGGGACTGTGCGACTAAAACCTTTTAAGATTTGGAACCTGCTTTATGGAGAAGTTTGAAAAAATTATTGATATATAAACAGTTCTAAATAAAAGCAGGTGTCTGAACTGAAAGACAAAATATAGACACCTTTGGAAAGCCAGCCTATTTTTACTCATTCTTGTTTATTTAAAATAAATGGGTAACTGACTGGATTACTTGAGCTACAGCAGAACCTCATGGTGAACTTTTCCACGGTTACCGCTTAGTATGAAATATATGATGCATACGTAATGGATAATATACAGTGAAGTATTTTAGTGTGCCTTAAAATTTGATAATTGATACAATGTAAATCTCAAAATGCATTAAATATATCAAGTTCATACAGTGGAAGAGACTTTTAAGTCCTCACAACACCCACAAGAGTTGAGTTAATGGCTTGAAAGAAATTGCTGTTTGTAATTCCCAGAACATCCTGTCTTCCGCATCTTGCATTCAACACTTTTTTTTTTTCTTTTAAAGGGAGAGACTGGGTTTCGTGCCTTTTATGATCCTGCACTTATTGTTAACACCACAGAAATACTTACCAATAGTTAAAAAATTAAATAAACGCATAAGATGTCCAGTAATCCCAGAGAGCCTTTAAATTTTGCAGGCAAATTATTTAAGTTAACAGAAACATACTTTGTGAGGCAGGTTGCATAAGCACAAAATAAAGTGTGTAATCATGTACTACTTGACATCTGCAAGAATTTCATAGGTCACAGGTTCTAAGATCAAAATAAGCTAGAAGTAAGGATAGTGTTACCCTCAGCAAGTTTGTAAGTGTTTTTCATTATTCACACAAAGTTCATTCACATGAACATCAGCTCTGTTTTGTGCAATAGAGGCATCTCCAGCTTTTTGAACGCTGGGCAGCACTGATCACCAGTCCTTTCGAAGCCAGCAGCGGTCATGGGGTTAGCAACATGCTGACGCTGCTACTAGGTCACCCTGCTGCTGGCAACGTTTTCAG